TTTCTGGTTCATTTATATACATATACATATATATATATATATAATTGACAATTACTTTCTTCGTTTCGACGTTATCTTCATATTATCTACAAATATAGTTTTAAAAGATTATAATTTATCGAATAAGAATTTTGTCAGTGGGGAAAGAGTAAAAACAATTGTCATTCAGTGGATACACTGATAAAAGTTAAGCGGGAAAGTGTCTCAGCTGTTCTTTGGTGCTGCTGCCATCTGGAGACAAAAAATTGAGTTAGGTTTTAATACATTTAAAATATTTTCTATTTTTAATGTATTTTATAGTTTAGTTTAATGCGTTTAATGAAATTTAAATGTAGTGAACTCTATTCTGTTTTTATATTTTTACAGTCAAAACAATATTTGATATAATGTATATACTTCATTAGATAATAACAAACATTATTAATATTAACATTAATATTAAAATATAAATACTAAGTTATTCATGTATCTAATAAGATATAATATAATTATAAGTTAAGTTAAACAATAAACAATTATACTGTATTTACTCTAATAAAAAGCATGCTATCTATAACTTTTTTCAGCTTGCAACTGTGCTATTTATTAGTATGTGCTTACTATCAGAGAACAACTATTATTTCTATTTCTTGAAGAATTGGGTGCAACTATTAATGTAATAAATTCAGTAACATTTTTTCAATTTATTATTATTCAAGCAACACAACAAACATACATACACACATTTTATTTTAACATATGGTAAGAATGACAATGCTGAAAAGATTGCAATATTTTAATTTAAAGTAAGCCTTCTCTTTCTCCAACAGACAGCATGCTTACTATTAGAGGGTGTTGTTTACAACTTTTTCATCTTGCAGTTGCATTGTTTATTAGAAAACACACATATTAGAATAAATAAAGTATATAAGTTTANAATATAGAGTAAATAGGGAAAGGGGAACACACAACCAAAAATAAACAAATTTTACTTTAATTTTAAGTTATTTTTATATTAATTTGCATAATAATATATGTTAAATAACACAAACATATGCACACAGAAATGTAAAGTTCATTTTTTGTGATGAAAGTCCTGGCTCTTCTGAAATTCTTGTTTTTTGTGATAAAGTCTTGTAGTTTGATTTGTCGCTTTCTTTTTCTTTCCTTAAGCAAATGTCCATAGCAAGAGAGAGATTTATCCAAAGCACCTCGTCTTGCTTTTGCACTCCTTTCAAAATCTGGATCATTTGCTACAATTTGATCAACAATTTCGGTTATCTTACCAAACTAAGGAAATCTGTAGAGAAATTTTTTGGGTTCTTTGTTTTCAGAATCTCTATTTTCCAGTTGCACATAAAATTCCTTGTTCTGCCAGTTCTTGAAGGTCATCGTTGGTAAGGCTCTCACCAGAAACCTGCAGTAACTCCTCGATATCCTGTTCATCTACATCTCCTAGTCCTGCTGTATCGATCGGGGTTGACAATTTAGTCAACCTAACAATACAGTGATAGGTTCTTCTCATTGAGAATTCTTGGATACCTTCAGTCATAACTTCTTCCACACTCCATTTGTGCATTGATCAGTTAATTCTTGCCAAGCAAAGTCAATATTGCCTATGGCATCCGTGATGTTATATTTTCCCCAAAATTGCACCTAACAAATATAGATTTAAGGAAAGTACAGCACTACAACAAATTGCCACCTTTTGCTGATTGGTTCGTGTTTGGGAATAATCAATGAAATGCTGCAATAATTTGAATCAGTGTAAACTTTGAGCATCAAGCAGACCATGTTATATCGAATCAGTATTAATCAAGACAGCGTTAAGCGGGATCTTACTGTATTTAATTTATTTAAGTTTATATATTGTAACTTTTCTTTAACTCTTGTTTCTCAAAGATTTAAAAGATTTAACAGGAAAAAAATTTCTGAAGGCAGTTTTAAAGTGCTGAGTGTAAATAAACAAACATTTTTATTTTAATTTATTTTTCAGTAATATCATCAAAAGACAGTTATCAAATTTCATTAACACTGTAATGTATCTTGCATAGTTTATAATTAAAGCATAATACTAAGATATTTTTTTTTAAAAGCTTTAATATTACTTTGGAATAGTTTCTTACAAGTAATTTACTTCTTTTAGATTATTTATTTTCCTTTGTATAGTTAATACATTATTTAACATAAAATCAACCTTCAAAATTCTTACAAATAAGAAACTATTTCATAGATTAAATAATTAAAAATAACAAACTGAATTAGTAAACTATTGAATGTATTGAATATGACAGATCAAAACAGTATAACAATTTATATTGTTATTAAGTCTTTTAATTTATTTTAAATATAGTAAAAGAACAAATCATTTTTCCATAAAGATGATATATATTTAAAAACAGGTTTGTCTACATATGCTGAAAATTATGTTTCAAAATTATATTAAGTAAAAATTCATAATAATAAAAAAATATCAAATTTAAAAAAGAGCCAAAGATTAATTCTCTTTGAATTTTGTATACAAACAGAAAAATTTTAGGATATATTTATATTGAAAAATATATTAATCTGTTTCTCCTATAAAAATATTACAATTAAAATTTTATATTCCCAAATAATTAATTAAACTCTATACTAAGAAAAATTTTTAATTAACAATTTTAGTATGACTGATTATCATCACACTTTACAGCAAAAGATTTTAACTGGAAAAATTAAAATATTGGTCTTAAAATAATGAATGTGGTATTAATTATAAAAATCCATTTTAAAATATTTATCATCATCAACAAATAAAATCCGTGATTAACTGATTTATTTTTGAATAATTACAATTAAAAGAATTATAAATTATTTCATAAAATATCTAACTGTACTATACTGTTAATATTAAAATATAAATACTAAGTTATTCATGTATCTAATAAGATATAATATAATTATAAGTTAAGTTAAACAATAAACAATTATACTGTATTTACTCTAATAAAAAGCATGCTATCTATAACTTTTTTCAGCTTGCAACTGTGCTATTTATTAGTATGTGCTTACTATCAGAGAACAACTATTATTTCTATTTCTTGAAGAATTGGGTGCAACTATTAATGTAATAAATTCAGTAACATTTTTTCAATTTATTATTATTCAAGCAACACAACAAACATACATACACACATTTTATTTTAACATATGGTAAGAATGACAATGCTGAAAAGATTGCAATATTTTAATTTAAAGTAAGCCTTCTCTTTCTCCAACAGACAGGATGCTTACTATTAGAGGGTGTTGTTTACAACTTTTTCATCTTGCAGTTGCATTGTTTATTAGAAAACACACATATTAGAATAAATAAAGTATATAAGTTTATATGTATATTTAAATAATTCTGATCATACTCATCAATTATATTATTTAAAAAAACGATTTCTTAAAATTTAAACTTTGCAAATAAAAAGATATTATTTTTCAAATATATAATTTCTTTTAAACTATTACAAAATACTGTATTATACATTCAAAATCTGAAGTTGTTTGTAATTTCAGTAAATTTATAATTCTATTACCATTTTATAAATAATATTTTCAATAATACATTAATTTTATAGTGCAAAATGCCAGACAACAGTCAGACATTCTATATTTAAATATCAGAAAAATTGTATTTTAATGTTGTGAGTTTAGAATACAATATCTATAGCACATTAGTCTAAATACAAAATTTTCACTTAAAATTTTAGCAAATTATTGACTATTTTTGGCACTTGAAATTCACTTTTTTAAATTTAATTATTTTATTATAATTAACAAATTATTGGCAGGAATATAAACACTACTAACCAATAATTCATTGAATCAAATCAATGTTTTAATTTAATGGTTTGGTATCAATATTGAAAAGATATTGTTCTATTTGGATGGAAATCTCTTCACTTCAATATAATCTACAACAAAATCCTTTCAATATTAATACAAAGATATTTAAATTCTAATGTAATAATAATTATTTAAATATAGTACTCATTTAGTATAGTAATAATAATAGTCTTAAGTATAATGATCATTTTAAGTTTATATTTAAAAATTTGTATTGAAGTAATGTTTTTATATGTGTTATTTTAGTATTTGGAATATAAAATAATGAAAAGGAACAGTACATAATTTAATTTAAATGAGTAAATTTAAGATTACCAATTTATGAATTCTATACTTTTATAAAATTTATAGATTATTAAAGTTTTTTGCAAAGAAATAAATTTCTTGTCAAAATTATGATTTAATGTTATTAATTATAATTAAGTTTAAATTTGTGAATTTTCAAATTTTGTTACTGAAGTAGTCTATATAATCAATTAAAATCAAAATTGGTAAAACAAACAGAAAAAATTAATTCATCATTCTTAAATAACAGTTTATCCATTATTTACAATTTACAATAGTAAAATCAATTCATAAACCTTAAAATAAAAGAAAAACACAAAAATCTTTCAATGATATTTTTAACATTCTTATATGCATTAGTATTTGAAAAATAATTGAAGTTGCAAGTATTATACAAGCATTTGTTTAAAATTTATAATTAAAAGTATTTATATTAATTGTATATTCTTAATATTTATCCAGAATGTTTTATGACAGAATTATTATATTGATTTCTACAAATCATAATGTCTGCTATGTTAATTAATAAAATTAATAAAAAGAATTATGTTTTACTTTCATCAAATATTATAAATAAATATTTCACTTTTTAAAATGAAATTATAAAACATTTAATTCCGATTAATTTATTTCTTTTTACTTTATTAATTTTATAGAGTTAATAAAAAACTTATTTTATGAGAAGTCTATTTAATAATATTTTAAGTTTATTTAATACTTTAAAATGTATATTTATTAAAAATCTTAATGCTTCTCAATTATGATTGTAGAAAATTTGATATATTTACAAATATATAAGCATTATTTATATCAATCATTTCAAAATATGTGTAACTAATGAAAATGAAGGCTTTTACTTACTTAATTTTTCTTAAATCTTAAAGTTTGGAATTTAATTAATTTCCTATAATTTTAAATTTAAAAAAAAACATAATGAAAAACTTAGAAAAATTTTCATTTTTTTAATGAAACACATTTATGTTAAATATAATTAATTTATATAATTGATCAATAGTATTATTTAATAAAATTTTATATTTACTTATTTACATCATGATCATTTTAAATCTAATAAACAGTATTTAATTAATTCTGAATATTTATTAAAATTTGATAGGGGAGAAAATACATTAAAATTTATGACTATTTCTAATAATTGGACTTTTTAGACATTGTTTCTTAAAGATATATAAAAATATCTTAAAATCAAATATTATAATTGTAGAGTTTATTTATTGAACTTAAGAGGAAAATCAGTTTTAAAGTGTCAATGACGCTCGATGTAGGTTGCAGCTTTTGGGAAGAGAGCGAACAGATCTGAGAGAATCTTATCAAACGTTTTACAAATCTGTTAATTAATTGTTTTCACTCGTATGTAAATCGAAAGGTTCTATAACAACAGCACAACAGTTTAAAGGAGAGAGAATTAAAACGAACGGCAAAGGCCATCTATTACGATTAGGCTTAAACCACTAATCATCAAAACAAACAGCTAAATATGATGGAAATTTTAAATAAAGGACATCCCGTTATTTCCTTACCTTAGCTGAATTGAACTGTTACATTTGAGAATAAATTATAGAAGAAAGCATCGAAACGATCTCCATTTTCATCGGATAGAATTTGCAGGCAAAAATGGCCGCGCTACAAACGCAAGTATACAAGGAATAGTCTATTCCACAACACAAACCTAGGTTGAGGGTATTACTCGAATTTTTCCGTAACACGTAAAAAATGGCCACTAAATACTTACATTATATTCAAAAAATAATTATTTACTCCCTCTTTCGTCTTATCGTTAATCGAATAAAGCTCGATCGGCCCGATTATCGATAGTCTTCTACGTTATGTTTACCCATAAAGTCGACTCCCCCTACAACTGTATTATAGACTCGCCCGTAGTTGGAACCTTCGTCTGTTGTCGGTGGGGCCCAGGCATCGCCTCGCGGCACTTCACTCGAATCAACTGTAATCAGGATTGTAGAGACGCCGTCTCGAAAATCATCCTTTCTTAACTTTATAAGCCATATTCGAAAGGGAATATATTATAATTCTCTTAATAACAATGTCGTATTCATTACACGTGATTTATAATTTGATATATTAAATGAATCGATAAACTGTTATATTTCTAAACTGTCATATAATGACGAATGTAAATTTACTTGTTTAAATAAATATCCTTTGTAATATTTTCCATCATACAGTAAGTCCTGATTAAATTTTGCAGTAATTGTTTTAACGTTAATTATATACGTTAACGTTTATGTAAAGAATCGTACCAAATATTCATTAAATAATGCTGTAGTGAATATTAATTATATGTTTATATTGAGATACTAATATAAGGTCATTTTTAACCTATTAATGTATATTAATTAAAATTACTTTATGTATTAGTCGTATAAATTTTGTTACTAAAATTAATTATACTAAGTCGATATATTACGGATGATGAACAATATGTATTTTAAAAATATTCTACTTACCTTTAAATTTCATTAAATTTTTGATTTCTGGTTCATTTATATACATATACATATATATATATATATATATATAATTGACAATTACTTTCTTCGTTTCGACGTTATCTTCATATTATCTACAAATATAGTTTTAAAAGATTATAATTTATCGAATAAGAATTTTGTCAGTGGGGAAAGAGTAAAAACAATTGTCATTCAGTGGATACACTGATAAAAGTTAAGCGGGAAAGTGTCTCAGCTGTTCTTTGGTGCTGCTGCCATCTGGAGACAAAAAATTGAGTTAGGTTTTAATACATTTAAAATATTTTCTATTTTTAATGTATTTTATAGTTTAGTTTAATGCGTTTAATGAAATTTAAATGTAGTGAACTCTATTCTGTTTTTATATTTTTACAGTCAAAACAATATTTGATATAATGTATATACTTCATTAGATAATAACAAACATTATTAATATTAACATTAATATTAAAATATTAATGTTAATATTGATGGCCCGATGGCTGAGTGGATAAGGTGGCAACCTCCCGCTCTGGGAGATGTGAAGTTGAATCTGGATGAGTCAAAAAACCCCAGGAATTTTTCAGAGATAGACCGTTTCAGCGCTTTACAGAAATTTTTCATGGACGGTCTATGTCGGGTCCCCTTCCCTCAATGTGGGCCTGAGTGAATCATAATGGGCATGAGAAAAGGTTTGTAATAGTTAAAAACGAAAAAATAAAGTTTCAGTTTATTATCTACACAGAATCCTTTTTAAAATAGTATGTATTTTGATAATTAGGTTTTAAGAATCACATTATAAAATTAATTAAATACTTTTAGGGTATCCTTTGTAGATATTTTAATTAAATTTTCTACTTTACAGTTCTGAGTATTTTTCGTTTTATCTTTTAATATTTTTTAAAGTTGAATGGATTATGCTACAGATGGGCAGGGCCGGATTAAGGCATTTTGAGGCTCTAAGCTGAACTCTATGTGAAACCTTTTACCAACATATCACAACATATAAAATTTTAGAAATCAATCATAAAAAGAAGATAATTAACATAAACACATTAATTTTAATAATAAATGTTTTATTGTTTAAAAAAATATTTGAAATATATAAAATAAAGAACAATTTACAAAGGGAAACACTAAAAATTTTGTTTTCATGATTTTGTCTTTTTTGTAGAAATTTTTGAGGCTCCTTGGAACTCGAGGTCCTAAGTTACAACTTAACATAGCTTACTTGTAAATCCGTCACTGGGGTGGGCAACCTTTCTGAAGCGTGCATGTCAAAATCGCCAAATGTATGATGCAAAATGTTCTCGTGTGTCAATCAAGTTGCCAACATTACGGGAGAAAATTATCATATTTGCCCCTTGAAATTATGGCATTTCACTTAAAATTATCTTATAGTTATCTCTAGCCGTTACACTTACACCTTCTAGTCATAGAAATATTAACTAGGTTTCCCTTTATCGGAATCTTTAAACTTTTTATCTACGACCAGGACGTCCATCTTTTGAAGATAGGGAAGAGGGACAAAAAAAGAATGAAAAGGGGAATAAAATTTTTATTACAAGAAAGTTTTTCCTTTTCTGATTCATTTTTGTGCATTTCCTTATAAATCCATTAATTAAACAAATATAACATATTATTAAAAATTATAATGATATATTCCATTTTATTTAACGTATAAAGTACTGTATACGTATTTATTCTCATTAATTGATATTCTCCGTTGAACGAATCAGCGAAATCAAGAACCGAAAGATATCGATAATAACTGTTTTTTTTTTTTTTAACTCTTTCCGCCCTATGGGCACTAAGAGGGCCTCTTTTTGCAAGCCCATTATGGGTTGGCCAGGCCCACAATGGGGCTGCCGGGTGGTGAGAGACGAGGCCCGACATATCCGAACGGACCACCCCCCGAAAAATTCCTGGGGATTTTTCGACCCGTTCGGATAATAACTGTTGTCAAACTGTCAACTGTTCTGTTACTGAACGGCTGAACCTTGTTTAAAAAATAACAATGGACAAGTGCAGTGCCATTCAGAACCGGCACTAGACTTAATGCCACCCGAGGCAAAAATACATTTGACGTTCCTTATTCCTCTACTTTAAAATGAAATTTAAAAATTTTTGAAATGCCATACCTTGCTCCGTCAATCAATATTCAGTCCGCATCGTATAATATAAATAAAAATTTTAAAATATTTTACGAAATAATACGCAAATTTTGAAAATTTTGTATACATTTATGAAAATTTGCTGTCCTAGGCAAATGCCGTTTGCCGTTACGGTAGCGTCGGCCCAGATACCATCCGCAGACAAGATAAGATACTAATGGTCTCAAAAATTGCTATTTATAACATATAAACTATGAACTCGATATACAAAAGTATAAAATTCATTTAGCCTAAATTAATCAGTTGTCGAATATTTGTTTATTTTTTAAAGTAATTTGTGGTAATTGTATGAAATTGTGGGATGGCGGGATTTCTGGGTAATAACGCGGGAGAAGGGCTTCTGTTTTTAAATCATGACATTCATGCCGAAACCGGGATGGATGGCCACCCTGTCTGCGACCCCATTTTATAAGTTTTTACGACTCCTCTTATAATATATATGGTACAAAACAGACCGCTTAATGGGCATAATCTAAAATTAACTTTTTTTCATACAATTTCAACATATCACACATTAAATTAACAGATATGTAACACTGCGACGGCCCATTAGTTGGAGTCGATCAAGTGATAGGTACTGTACAGCCGGTCTCCTCTAATTGGTAAACTTTTTGCGACGTCATTGCGGCTCGACTCTCGAACTCTCTCGTTTCCTTCCTAGACGCGAGGTGAGTAAGGTGTACGCGTTTTTGATCCCGTGTCTTTGTTCTTACGTCGAACAATAAATTTTATTACTGTGCATATCTTGTGTGAATTCCTCAGACGACATTGTTAGCGGTCTCGGATATACGTACAATATCGCTACAAACACATTATATACCTTATTTATTTCATAAGGTAAATCTTTGCCACTGTCTAAAATGTTTATCAATTCCCATGTGGTCGCCGCTCCCAATGAAACACTACACTGTCAAAAAAAGCCTCTGTTGTAGACAGCTCACTAGATGGAAATTTCTCTAATAGAATATATTACAATGGTATCTATATTTTGTACAAGTAGAAGCATAATAGCATTTTGACATAACGTTTATTTGTACAAATTTTCTTTACACATCAATTTGAACATTTTATTAGCCGGTATAAAAGTATAGCAGTCTTGAAAAGTCTGAAAAAGGTGTGCCATATAATCGGAATATACAGTAGTAGCCAATTTAAGTAAAACTTTAGAAATTCTAGGAGCTCTCCAGCAGAGAAAAAAGACACAAAGAGTGAATGAGAAGGCAATACGTTCAAAAATTGCGATTGCTATCTTCATTTTTTTCAATAATTAACGGTTAGACGACCAGATGGCCAAACGGTCAAGGTGTCAGCCTGCCGCTCTGGGGGACCAGGAATCGAAAAATCCCCAGGAATTTTTCGGGGATGGTCCGTCCGGATATGTCAGGCCCCGTCCCTCACCACCCGGCCGCCCCATTATGGGCCTAGCCAAACCCATAATGTACTTGCTAAAAGAGGCCCTTTAGTGCCCGCAGGGCGGAAAGAGTTAAGTAATAATAATAATAATTAATGGTTATTTTGGGAGTTAGTCTTTCTGAAATAACAAAATCCCATTATAGTACATCGTACGATACCTAAAACACTCGTACAAATCGTACATATAGGTGCCAACCGAAATTTTTGGGAGTATGTTATTTGGTATCTTTTAAATATTGAGAAAACCTTTTTAAATAATCAAACATTCACACATATACACTTTTTAAATTCACATACACACACTTTAGAAACCTGGTAAATTCTTTACGAAACAAGAATATATAAAAAGACGTTGAGTATCTATTTATAAGTGATCCCTAGGTTACTTGCGGGGGAAAAAAGTGTCGTTGACGTGCGATGGTTGGAACGTGTCTCAAGGGTTGCACCCCTGGACTAAGCTCTGACCAGGATCACGATTACTAGATTATAAGGTTGGAGAACTCCCATAAGAGATGTGTCGAAAAAGAGTCTAGAGAAAAATTTTGCCACCAGGATTGGCACTGCCAGCAAGTTAGGCCACGTTGATTACTGCTGTAGCAGGTTTATATGTAAAGGATCGCATGAATATAGTGGTATTGGACACAGAGATTCACACTGACACGGATTGACAGTAATATTCACATTCAATAAAACAATAAAGCTATGCTTATTGTTTTATTATAGTCCAGATTCGTGGTTTTTAATCTTTTTGAAGTCGGGGAACGCTAAACTTTGACATTTTGACAATAGGGTGACCGGGTGGTGAGGGACGAGGTCCCGACATATCGGGACGGACCACCCCCGAAAAATTCTTGGGGATTTATCGACCCGTCCGAATTCGAACACGGGTCCCCCAGACTGATGGATTGCCACCTCGACCGCTCGGCCATCTTCCAGCAGATACTCTGACCTCATATACTGTATTTTTATAAGTTGCGCTTTGCATAATATAGTTTAACAGAATTGCTATTGCTTAATGTATCCTTCTGATAATTATATAACGCGCATTTTCCTGTCATATTTTGACATGTCTATAGTTTAGCTTCGTTTAGTTTTGATGGGATACGGTAACGTAGCATGTAAGCTATCTGCCAAAGGGAATGCCTAACGGGAGAGCTTTTTATAAGAAACTAACCACTATTTCGATGTCAGACAAATGAAGGAAATCCGGAAAACTCTATGCGGCCAGCCCAATGGTCAAGCGTGAACTCACGACCGGTTCAATGGTTTATGCACTCGGTCATTGGTGGGTTCACGGTTTTCATAACTGACTCATAAACATAAAATAAAAGTTAAAAAATTTTAAGATATTTTGTTATATTGTATATTTAGCTATTAAAAGATGTAGTCGAAAATTTTAGACTATAATGAAAAGTAAAACAAAAAGAGTTTATTAGAGAGGTTGCGGCCGACGTTTTCAACGCGAAAACGTGTACGTCGGACGTTCAGCGCCGCTTTCCTGAAGGCCTAGAAGTTTGGCAATGGTGTTTGGAATGTCGAGTGTGATTCCATTGACTATCCAAACACCATTGTCAAACTTCTAGGCTTATAGGAAAGCGGCGCTGAACGTCCAACGTACACGTTTTCGCATTGAAAACGTCGGCCGCAACCTCTCTATTAATAGTAAAATTTTGCAGTTTATTTTTTGTAAATTATTTACTTATTTATTTATTTATTTTGCAAGATTATTTTAAAAATTTTATCAGCTACAAATTAAATTAGAGTAAAAAAAATTTTGTTATGCCAAAATAAATAAACTTTAGAAAATTGAGCTTCTGAAATTTCTTCCCAATTCAGTTGAATTTTGTATAATTTGTTGTTAAATTGTCTATTTTAGAATTAATCCAATTAATTTATACGGGGAACTTTTGTTTGGTGCATTCGGGACATAGGATATCAGATCCATCGAAGATGAAGCCTTTTCCAACCATTGATCTCTTACACATGACGCACAGAAAACAATCGTTGTGCCAATTTCGATCTTCAAAAGATATAAAGCGTGTTCCTCCGATGCCTAGAAGATAAGTAGATTTGATACTTCACTTACGATAATTATGATTACTGTATTAATCTACTAACACGAATTAGAGAAACCGACCTGTAATAGGTCTGTTGCAAGCGTGGCATCTCTTAGCAAATAATTCTCCGAAACATTCGGCACAGTATGGTTTTTCGTCTTTTGAAGTAAAACGCTCTCCAGCGAGACAAGCTTGGCAATTTACGCAACAAAAACATTCCCGATGCCACGGTTCGTTGCGATATGTGACACCACCTGTAGTTATTATTTGGTTGCATTTGATGCAACGAGTAGAAAACTTCTGCTCGTAGCATGTAGTGCAATAAATATCATTATCTCTGGGAATAAAGCTTTTAGTTCCAATAGGATTTTTGCAAACGACGCAACAGAAACATTGTTCATGCCACTGTTTGCCCTTATACTCCATCTTCTTTGTACCTGTAACAATGATTAAATTTTATGAGCCTAATTATGTTACTAATAGCAAACTGTTAACGATTACAAATTAGCAATATTTTTTTACCTGCACGAAAAATTTCTCCACATCTATCGCATCTGGTAGCAAAAGCAGCATCGTAACAACTTGTGCAATAAACTTTATCAGCTTTTGAACCGAAAGGTTTGTTTATCAATGAATTATGGCACTTGCTGCATAAAAAGCAAGCTTCGTGCCAATGTTTGCCCTTATAAGAAAGATCCTGGAAAAAATGTTACTTAATTACAAATTTTTGGAAAAAAAATTGCGATGATTTTACCTTCGAATCTACACCAATGGAACGCCCACACTCGTCACAGGTGTTGGAGAACAATCTCTCGTAGCAACGAACGCAATAGGGATGCTCGTCACGCAATACATATCGTTGTCCTGTCAGAGAATCGTCACATTTCCAGCAGCAGAAATGAGTAGTGTGCCAATCTTTGGACATGGCTTTGGTGTATTCTCCGGCAAAGATTAACTAAAATTTAATGGCAAAAAATTATTTTGATATTCTGGATTCATGATAAAGCTTATAAAAAATTGATAACCTCATCGCAGGCTGCACATCGAGGTCGGATCTGTTCTGCATAATGACGTTCGCAATATATTTTTTTATCCTTTACGCAGCAAGCCAAATCCACCAACAGCTCTTTACAAACAAAACAGACGAAACAAGCCGGATGGAAAGGATATCTCTCACCTAATCTAGGCACAATCACTGCTATATCTCCAGAAATCATGCTTCCTTCACATTGATAGCATTCCTTAAAAACAATAATAATATTTTTATAGTAAAAAATAAAAAGATTTTAAAACAAATACTATTTATTCTCACAAATGTCTGCTCCGAAATGCTTTTGACATAGGCAATATCGAGTGCAGTTCTCTGTCGTTCGTTGACGAAATCTGCATATTGTTGTTGATATTCCTTTCCTAAAAATTTGCAATAATGCGGAGAAAAATCTTGCTTGGGTAGTTGAGAGATGAGTTGTTTTTCACGATATTTCTCCCCAGGAGTTCTGAGCCGAGGTACTTTTTGAGAAGGAATTTGAACAAAGTATTCTTGGATCTATAATTTTAAAAGATGTTTAATGATATAAAATCATATTTTTTTAATAGCCAAAAACTAGAAATTTACTTTATCCTTAGATAAATCAGATGGCATCCAGGCGTATCCTTCTTCCAAGGCATTCCGTTTAAATGACGATTTGTTCGATTGTCGTGGATCTTTCAGACCTATTATATCTCGGACGTTCACAATATCATTATAATAGATATCATGACATTCACGTTCGCATTTACAGTTATCGCATACAGTTCTATAAGAAACGTTATTATTCATAATATCTGTATAATTACACAAAGATTGCAACAATAATACTGCACCTCCATGGATGTGGTTTGAATCCTACGCAATTATTTTTGCAGTCTAAGCATCGTTGTCCCTCATCTATTTCTTGAATTAACACATCCTTCGAAAATAAGATAATAGCAAAAACTTATATATAAATAACAAACCAGCAGTTTTTCATGAATTATTGACAAAAATCTCACAAATCCCAATTTAAATATCATTAATATAAATAGTTGACAGTCGGATGACCGAGCAGTCAAGGTTGCAGCTTATTGCTCTGGGACACCCGGGGTCGAATCCGAACGGGTCGAAAAATCCCCAGGAATTTTTCGGGGGGTGATCCGTTCGGATATGTCGGGCTCCTTCACCACCCGGCAGCCCCGTTGTGGGCCTGGCCGAACCCATAATGGGCTTGCAAAATAAGGCCCTCTTAGTGCCCACAGGGCGGAGAGTTAAAAAAAAAAAAAAAACGGTCGTCCCATTGTGGGCCTGGTCGAACTCATAATGGGCTTGCCAAAAGAAGCTCTCTTATTGCTCACAGGGGGAAAAGAGTTAGAAAAAAATTATATATAAACATTTACGGAATTAGAGTTAAAAAAATGAAGCCTACCGAGATTCTATCATCCCTTCTCTCCATTATCCTTAATCTGCTTATTTAACAAAAACTTCACTTTTATATTCGAACAAAAGAATACCCACTAAAAGTTTTTTATTGTTTTCTGGTTGTTATTGCACGCAGTGTTATTTGTTAATTGTTATATTGATATATTGATATTTCAATCAATGACGTGCTTAACAATGAAAAGTTCGAAATTCATTATAACTGTAAAGTAAGCGTTAAAAAATATCATACTCTAATTTTAGTAATTTCCCAACTTTATTCGTGTAACAGAAACGTACTCAGCAAAAAAGAACTAATTAAGTAACTAAACACCTTAATAGTTGCTGAGGGGGTTTATTAAAAACGAACGTTTTCGATCTATTCAATAGATCATCTTCAGGTTAATGTGGTATTGTGGTTACAGATCATATTACAGTTTATGAGCTACTTTTAAGCTTTTTAATGGCAAACTTCCAAGCCGACGGTAGACCCTCCACATCTCTAACGTTTATATATCCTTCATCAAGCTTGTTCCTGTATATTTCCATTTTTTCGGCAGTTTTCGCTAAAGTTGGAGAGTGCACTTGTCTGATGATTTCCACTTCCTCCCATCCAACTACGAATCCTTGGGCTTGAGCCATCTGTGCCAATATAATGTTAGATCCTTTCCTAACAACATATTTATGCTCTCTGATCCTTACCCCGAGGCTTCTCGTTGTAACTCCTATGTAATCCTTTTTTAACCGTAACTGCTGGTTCTCATACGGGATCCTATAAACTCCTGCTTTATCATCCTTAAGTTTATAGGATCCCGTATGAGAACCAGCAGTTACGGTTAAAAAAGGATTACATGGGATCGAATCCAGACGGGTCGAACAATCGCCAGGAAATTTTCGGGGGGTGATCTGTTCGGATAATTCGGGTCCCGTCCCTCACCCTCACCACCTGGTCGCTCCATTGTGAACCTGGCCGAATCCATAATGGGCTTGCAAAAAAAGAGGATCTCTTAGTTCCCACAGGGCAGAAAGAGTTAAAAAAAAAACCCCAACTCCTCCTAATTAGAAATATAGCACATACAAATGTTTAACGTTGTTTTGAATTTTGAATCACTACAGTACTATGAAATCTCTCAGTTAAGGCGTCTAAATTATAGGAAGAGTAAACATGTTACCGCTAAAGCTCGAAATCCGTTAATGTGCGCATTACCTAGCTAATCTGCAGATTAACTAGGGTGATCCGTTAAAGCTGCTAAAATTATTCCATTTCTCAAATTACCTAGGTAATCTTCAGATTATCTAGGTAATCTGCGAATTACCTACTAGGCACTCGGTAAAGTTAAAATAAGATCTTTGCTGGAACAACAGCAACGTTTCTGTACGCTTAAATTAACATAATGTTCTTTATTTAATTTTCAATATCTAAAGAATCAAGTTAATACAATCAACAAATTAGTTGATTGAATCAATCATCAATCAATTAAAAAAACTTTAATACAAAAATCAAACGGTTTAAAATATTA